ATTGGCTCAGCTACCAAAGTAACTCAAGCATTTTGGGAAGCCAGCCTCCATGCATTAGCCCAAGGCCTGGGATGTGAGGCTTCTGAGAGGCACTGGATTTATAGGGGAAAGCCTTGGCCTGGTTTTCCTTAGGATCTATAATCTTAACTGATCGTTAACTGCTATAGTGTTGTTGAAATTGGTTTCTTTCTTTTTTTTTCTTTTTAAAAATATTTTATTTATTCATGAGAGACGCAGAGAGAGAGAGAGAGAGGCAGAGACACAGGCAGAGGGAGAAGCATGCTCCATGCAGGGAGCCTGATGTGGGACTTGATCCCGGGTCTCCAGGATCAGGCCCTGGGCTGAAGGCGGCACTAAACCGCTGAGCCACCCGGGCTGCCCCGAAATTGGCTTCCTTCTATTGTACATACACTGTATTACTTTTTATACCAACTAAGTCTGTAGTACTTTGTATTTTAATTTTTTAAGCATCAATTATGTGAATTAGAATGATAGTAGCCACCTGTTTATAGGTGGTTTAATTGAAACTTGCTTAAATGAATTTTATTAAAAACTTTTTTTATGGGATTTTTTTTTTTAATGGGATTTTAAGTGAGGTGCCATGCGGTATTTCACACATGGAAAGTCCTCAGTAACTTTTAGTTGTCTTGTTAGAATTCCCTCAAGAAGTACGTTTAACCAGATCTGGAGGAACCCTCATGGCAGAGAGATTAGAACATCCTAAAGTCCTGAGGGGCCAAAGAGACCATAGCCCCATATAGCTCCAAACAGGCCAGTGAGGGAAAGTCAGCCCTAGGTGGGGTCTTTGCTTTGGGAAGAAGTTTAGGCTTCATCAGGAGAGTAATTGGGAACCATAAAGGGTCTTAAGCTGAGAACCAATCATATTTGCATTGTTATGTTAAAAAATGATTCCAGCCACCTGTGGAAAGTGGTTACAGGGAGATTCCTGACAAGGTTTGTCTATAAAGTAAGTAACCAGCCTTGGGCACATTTCTTAAGCTAAATGTGTCTTGGTTTCCTCATCTCCAACACAGATTTAGTAATAGTACTCACCTTATAAACTGAGCTATTATTTATTTATGTCCTCAAAACAGCTTCCAGTGTATAAGTGCTTTAAAGTTTGTTAAATAGAATGCTGAAAATATGATGGCAGAAGGTTGAGCACTTCCAGTACTGCCCTCCCTCCATCTAGCTGACCTCCACCATGGAGAACGCAGACTGTCCCTGACTCTGAGTCCTTGGCTAAGCCTAGTTTCCTCCATCCTCATGTCTGGGTGCCACATGGATGTGGCATATGGCTGGCCAGGCCTGGCTAGCCTCTCCTTCACTTGAGACCTACACTGCGCTTCACACAGTGGGTCAGGCCCCACTTTCCACTTACTCCATGTAGACTTACTGCTGGGGAGAACTATGCAGAACTCACCAGTGCACACTGCCCTTCAATGGATGGTACACTGTATTTGGTACATTTGGATGGTACATCCAATGGATGGATGGCTGTAATTTAACTCCCCTGGCTTTGCCAGGCTGACTACAACTGCTTACTTTCACTCAGATTGTACTGGGTGTTTGAAACTAACTGGTGTGTCCTCAGCTCCTGTTTACTTTCTGTATATATAAAAGGACAGCTTTGAACTGAAAGAGAAAAAAGGCAAATAATATGCAAATGGCTTCCATCCAGCCTTTTCTTCTTGTCTTTAGTAGGGAGCCTCTTAAGTATTTTACATCTTACCAAAAGTTTAACTCTATAAATCTCTATTTTTCTCCCTTCTCAGTGACTTATTTTTGTAAGTCATGTTATACATGTTGTTGGGTTTGCTTTGTAGTTAGTAATGTTTCAAAGCTACTTTGTTAACTTGCTTTGAATTTTTCCAGTTTGAAAATAGTAGATGGAGTCTCATGCAGGAATAGCAGTTCTCAGCCTGCCTGACTTAGTGTGTTGCCTGTAGTCCTTTTTTGAGGACCATGAGGCAACTCTGAGCTTACAGGGAGAAAGTACCATGATCTACAAGAAAAGGGTGCATACCAGATCCAGGGTAGAATTCTCCCTGGGAGGAAGGACAGGTGTAGAACTGGTGGGGGAAGGGAGAGATGATATAGAAGGCTTCCTCTGTGTTTCTAATGCTTGTTAAATGTGATGGTGGGTGAAAATTGTCATATTATTTTATATCTTTCTGAATATGTGAAACAGTTTATGATAAAATTAAAATGATGCCATCCACCCTGGGCATTACTGGTAAGTTTATTGCCTGGTCTGGTGAGACCTGCCTTTGAGGCAATACAGCCTCTTCCCTAGATTTCATGGTCCTCCAAGTATTTGTGTATGGACTCAAACATTTAGATGTGGATATACAAGTTCATTTTATCACATAATGTGTACTTACTAAATGCAGTGCAGGACTTAAAAAAATAATAAATTGGGTATTTCCCTGTGAATATATAAAAACCACTGGGTTGTATACTTTAAGGAATAAATTTTATAGTTTATGAATTATATCTCAATAAAGCTGCTGTTAAAAAATAAAATGTTTCCCAATATAGCACGGTTTCAAAAAGTATTTTTTCCTGATTATAAAAGTAGTACACATACACACATAGGAAACTGGAAAATGTACTAAAGTAGAAAGAATATATATATCCCTAATAGCACCATCCTAGAGACTGTTAACATTTGATGATGGTTTCTTCCATTACCTTTTCATTTCCATGTATAGATTATTTTTATATTGATGAGATTGTTTCTGTATATTAAAATTTGCATCTTCCTGGGGCACCTGGGTAGCTCAGTCAAGTAAGTGGTTGCCTTCAGGTCAGATCAAGCTGACATCGACATCGGGCTCCGTTCTTAGCGGGGAGCCTGTTCTCCCTCTCCCTTTGCCTGCCACTCCCCCTGCTTATGTTCTCTCTCTGTCAAATAATATATAAAATCTTTAAAATAAAATTTGCATCTTCTTTTAACAGTGTAATATAACCATTGAAAATGTTCTCATAAATTCCTTATAAACATTTTAATGGCTTACAAGATGAGCCACTGTATGAGTATTATAAATTAATCAGTTCCTGCTGTTAGACGTTTTTTTTTGCTATGAGAAATAACATTATAGCGAATGTCTTTGAGTATAATTCCCATCATCATATTTGGATTTATTTCCTTAAATGTATACCAGATACGTTAAAAGTTCTGAATGCTTTTAAAAATCTTTAATATGTATTTTCAAATTGCTCTCTATAAGGCAGACCTCTACTAAACTATAAGACACCTTTGTTCAGGTTCTAAACCCCTGGGCAGACAGCTCTGGCAATCCAAGCTTGGGGTGGGTAATGGACTTGTGTTACACCCACTCTTATTCTCTGAAGGTGCCTCAATGTGGTTCACAGCAGCAGGATGTATGAATATCCATTTATATTTTAATAGCTCACACAGAGTACCTGTGTCAGAGAACCCAGACTAGCATTCTGTATTTAGATCTCTAAAAATCTTTAATTCATTAAGTGAAAAATGGTATGTTGATATTTAAATTTACTCTTTGAGTTTGTGAAGGTGAACATTTATTGGTGCTTTTGCATTTATTTGTATTTTCTCTTATGAATTATCTGTTCATACTCAGTTTTTATCATATACTTTGCACATTAATTTGATTACTTATGATCTGTTATTATTTATTAATACCTTTCCTGGTTTGTGCTTATTTTATTAAAACACAAGGTTTTATTTGTATTTAGAACAACTAATGATTTGCTCTCTTAATTTTCACTTTACCTTTGTAAAGGCTCTTCCCCATTCAGACACTTGAAAAGTACTCATGTTTTCTTCTTGTTTATTGTTTCATTTTTACATTGATTGCTTTAATTTAAATTAAATCCAAGTATATTTTGACAAATAACATAAAGTATAAATCTAATTTTTTTCAAATAGTGTCCCCATGGCACTTTTTTTTTTTTAAGATTTCATTTATTTATTTGAGAGACAGAGTAAGCAAAGGCAGAGGAAGAGGAAGAAGACGACTCTCCTGCTGAGCAGGGAGCCCAATGTGGGGTTCTATGCCAGGACCCTGGGATTATGACCTGAGCCTGAAACCAGACGCTTAACCAGCTGAGCCACCCAGGTGCCACCCCTGTAGTACCATTTATTGCATTATCTTACCCTAGTAATTTGTGGTGTGTTCCTTCTCATGTGTTAAATATTATAGCTCCTTGGATAAAAATATTTTGGTGAATTTAAAAACAATAAAGATCACATTCTTTTTTTTTTTTTTAAATATTTATTTATGATAGTCACAGAGAGAGAGAGAGGCAGAGACACAGGCAGAGGGAGGAGAAGCAGGCTCCATGCACCGGGAGCCCGACGTGGGATTCGATCCCGGGTCTCCAGGATCGCGCCCTGGGCCAAAGGCAGGCGCTAAACCGCTGCGCCACCCAGGGATCCCCCTAAAGATCACATTCTTAATATGGTTAAAGCGTTGTTCATGTGTTATATATTTTTTGCTTCATTGTTAACATTTGTTTAAATTGACCTATTTTTAATGTGATAATTTTAATGCTAACATTTCTTTTTTTTAAATTTTAATGCTAATTTATTTCTTTTTTCTTTTTCAGTTTATGTGAATGAATGCACATGAACTGGGTATTGGGACAAAATAAGATTACCCATTTCGTAGAGATGAGCACATTTACAGATGACCCGGGCTCTAGGCATTATACATAATAGGCCCTTGCACTCCCTCTTTTTTTTTTTTTTTAAGATTTTATTTATTTTTTCATGAGAGACACACACACAGAGAGAGAGAGGGGCAGAGATACAGGCAGAGGGAGAAACAGGCTCCATGCAGGGAGCCCGATGTGGGACTTGATCCCTGGTCTCCAGGATCACACCCTGGGCTGAAGGCGGCGCTAAACCGCTGAGCCACCCGGGCTGCCCTTCACTCACTTTAAATTTTTCTGTTTATACCTGGGCTGCCCTGCACTCACTTTTAATAAATTTTTCTGTTAATGTCTTTAAGGGGTTGTTATCTCAGATACTTTCGGCATTCAGATTTGATACAAAAGAAGTTGATCTTTTTATTCAAAGTCTTGGATATACACCTGAAGATTACTGTCCTGGTTTGCTTAAAAATGTAAGTATTTTTAATTTATTAGTATTGAAAGTTTTGTTGCTTAATGTACCGTTAGCAAAAAGGGTAAATGGAAATATTTCACTCTTCCAGGAGAGATGTTTAACTTTTCTAGGTTTATCTCTTCTTACCTTGGGCAGACTTACAGCCATGTAAGGAAGAAATGTGAGGTGGGAGATTATGATAAAAAAGGAAGGAATTTAGGAGAGGTTATTCTAAATCAACCAACCCCTCTTGTCTCCTAACAGATCTCATTTATTATCTCAAAGATTTTTGGGAGAAGAGATTGCCTTAACCAGTGTAAATACATTCTTTTACTGTTGCACAAATTTTGTATTTAAAATAATCTGATAGGAATTTTATTTTAAAGCAAAATAACAATGTTATTTTGTTTAACAATAAAACAACAAGTAACAATGTTGTAAATAGTATTATGTATTTACATCTTAGTATTAAAACTATGTTTTCTTCTGCCTTGAGTTTTAGCCAAATTCAAGAAATTTTAATTTATGATCTTTGAAGTAATGTTATGAGATTTTTAATGTCTGTTAACTATTCTGGTCTTTTAGATACTTTATATGTAAATAGCATTTTTGAAAGATAAAGAACTAAATTAGGAAAGAAAATAAGCTAACTTTAATGTGGTTTTATTTTTAACAGGTTTGATTTTCTTAGGAACTAATGATATCTGTTGTTCATTTGCTTAAATTGGAATGCAGAATAACAGACATTAAGAATAAACTCCAAGTTATTAGTAAATGTGACTTGGCACTGCTTTCTTTTCATTTTGACAAAGTAAAACAAGGAGAGGACGGGTAGGGGAAGGGTAGGAATCTCAACGGAAATATCACTCACACCAAGAAAAATAGAACTGATGTAATCCTGTTTTGCAGTGTGAGTTAACCTGCAACTGATTTTGTTTTACAGATGGTTTTATCATTAGTGTCTGAACTCCGAGAGAATCATCTTAATGGATTTAACACTCAAAGGCGGTAGGTGTTAAACTAAACATCCCCCTTCTTAAGTTTCAAAATGTATCAGTTTGGTTATGAGAGAAAAATTTTATAATTCTTAGGAAATGCCTGTTCATAGTTAGGGTTATATTCTGTGTGGAGAGATTATTTATACACAGCAAATTGGTGAGTTTTATGAAATTTTCTTTATTTAATCACTAGTCTTTCAATTTTTATAGAGCAGTAAATCATGCACTGTTTCTTGTGACCCATTGAATAAAAAACCCTACGTATACAGTAGGGAACACAAAGGAAGGGCTCAGCCAGAGTGTATGTATGCATGCACACATTAAAAATACACAGACAGTATTTACAAGGCAACAGATATTTGATGTGAACATACGACTTATTTTAAGAAACATAATATTCCAAAATCTAAACAAATCAAATAGATTCAGACAAATTAAAAGGCAATTAATCACATTTGCAAAATGTTCTCATTATGTGAGAGAATTCAAAATTGTCTTCAGTGGTGAGTATATCATTTCTTTAAAAAAGATTGTACTTATTCATTTGAGAGAGAGAGAGAACATGAGCAGGGGGAAGGACAGAAGGAAAGGTTGAAGCAAACGCCCTACTGAACTGAGAGCCCAATGTGGGACTCCATCTCAGGCCCCGAGACCATGACCTGAGCTGAAGGCAGACGTTTAACCTACTGAGCCACCCACGTGACCCAGTGAGCATTTCATTTTTAACAAATTATTAACTAAGAGAGTTTGGGACAAGGGACTTTTGTCCTTGTTTTTTGCTTTTTGTTTGCTTTTGTAAAGCTATTATCAATTAAAGTTCTATCAGAACTAGCCTTTGCCTTTAACTTATAGGATCCTTTGCATCTGAACTTTTAAATATAAAACTCTTAAAAAAAAAAAAACACTGGAGAAAATCTTCATGACATTGGATTTGGCAGTGATTTTTTTTTATATGACACCATTAGCACAAGCAACAAAGGAAAAATAGATAAATTGGACTTCATTAAAATTATGAATTTTTATGAGTTATAGGATACCACCAAGAAAGCAAAGACAGCCTACTGACTTGGTGAAAACATTTGCAAGTCATGTATCCAATAAAGGATTAATAGTGAAAGAACTGAAACTCAACAACAACAAAAAACTCAATTCAAAAATAGGCAAGAGAGTTGTTTATACATGTTTCCAAAGATGATGTGCACCTGGCCAGTAAACACATGAAACAGTTGTCAGCATCACCAGTTATTAGGGAAATGCAAATCAAAACCACAGTGGGGTTATCACATCACACATACGAGGATGATCTAGAATTTAAAAGACAAGCAAAAATGGGACATAATAAATGCTGGCAGGTAAGTTAAGGAAGTAGAACTCTTGTGCATTGTTGGTGGAAATGTAACAAACTATAGAAATGATTCCTAAAAGGATAGTCTTGCTGTTAAGAATGTAAAATGGTACAGCCATTGTGGAAAAGTTTGGCAGTTCCTTAAAAAATTAAACGTAGAATTACCATATTGACCCAGCAATTCCATCCTAGGTATATATTCAAAAGAATTTAAAACAGGAACTTGAACAAATATCTGAACACTAATGTATATAACAGCATTGTTCACAATAGTAAAAAGATGGGAACACTCCAAGTTCCCATCAACAAAACATAATATGTAAATACAACAGAATACTCTTCAGCTATAAAAAGGAATAAAATTTTTACATATGCAAGAACATGAAAACATCATGCTTCGTGAAATAAACCAGACACAGAAGGGCAAATATTATATAATTTTACTTATATCAACTGCCTAGAGGAGGCAAACTCAGTAGAGGCTGAAAGCAGAATAGAGGTTATCAGGCTAGAAGGAATGGAGTCATCATTTAATGGGTCCATAGGTTGGGATGCCTGGGTGGCTCAGTGGTTAGGCATCTGCCTTCGACTCAGGGCGTGATCCCAGGTCTGGGTTTCGAGTCCCACATCGTGGGCTCCCTGTGAGGAGCCTGCTTCTCCCTCTGTCTATGTCTCTGCCTCTCTCTGTGTTTCTCATGAATAAATAAATAAAAATTTTTTAAGAGATTTTATTTATTCATGAGAGAGAGAGAGAGAGAGAGAGAGAGAGAGAGAGATGCAGAGACACAGGCAGAGGGAGGAGCAGGCTCCACGCAGGGAACCTGATGTGGAACTTGATCCCAGGACTCCAGGATCACACCCTGGGCCGAAGGCAGATGCCAAACATCTGAGCCACCCAGGGATCCCCAAATAAAATCTTTTTAAAAAATGGGTCCATAGTATATTAGGGCTTAGGGATAATGAAAAGCATGTGAATGTGTTTAATGCCACTACATTGTTACCTTGGTAACAAAGGACAAGTGATTAAAAATAATAACAGTTATATATGTTTTACCACAATAAAAAAAATTAAGAAAAAAACCCAAACATGATATTAACAGTATATTCCCTCCGATGATTAAAATTTATTTATTTTTTAAAGATGAATTTATTTATTCCTGAGAGACACAGAGGCAGAGACATAGGCAGAGGGAGAAGCAGGAAATGACTAAAATTTAAAACATTTACATCAACCTGTGTTGGAGAAGATACGGAACCACTGGATCTCTCATCTGCTGTGAGAATGTAAAGTAGTATCACCACTTTGGTAAATAGTGTAGCAGTTTATTATAAAGTTAAACACACACTTATCATATGACCCACCAACTCCATTCTTGAGTATTCATGACGAGTGAAAAACTTAGGTTGTCAGTAACAAGTAACCCAGTTAAAAAATAGGCAAAATATTGGAAAATATCATAAAAAAATCTATACAAATGGCTAATAAGGACATGAATACTTGTATACAGATGTTCATAGCAGTGTTATTCATTATAAACTAAAAGTGGAAGTAACTAAAAATATCCATCAACTCATGAATGGATAAACGAAATATGTCTATACAGTAGAATACTATACCTTACTAAGGAAGGAATGATCTACTGATTCATGTTGCAACATGTATGAACCTCAAAAACATTATGCTTAGTGAAAGAAGACAGTCCCAGAAGACCATATATTATATGATTCCATTCTTATAAAATGTTCAGAATAGGTAAATCTATAGAGACAGAGTAAATTAGTTGTGGCCTAGGGCTGAAAGTAGGAACAAAGATTGGCTGCAAATGAGCTCAGAAGATCTTGAGTTGATGGAAATGTCCTAAAAGTGGATCATTAGTGGAATGGTTGTCCAACTCAGTCATTTATTAAAAAAATCTTTGAATTGAACATTTCAGACAGGTACGTTTTGTGGTATATAAACTATACCTAAAAACTAATAAGAAGAGTCCTTTAGGGGAGCATGGAAAGCATTTATAATCATTTACTTACAGGTGAGATAGAGACTTTGTTTTTTCCTTGAGGTGAATGTTGAATAATAGAATTAGAAATTTATTAAAAAGGACTTAAAACATTAGTAGGATACAGTGTATATGTACACCATACACCAACACCTCAAACTATGTCAAGTTGATGATTTTATTTTAAACTTAACCGAGAATAAATAACCACCAAACACTATTAACAATTGGAAAACATCAGCCAGAGAATTGGAAGATATTTGCAACCTATAAAATAGACAAAAGATTAGAATGAGAAGTATATAAATGCCTCCTGCAAATAAATCATAAAGAGACCAACACTCCAGTACAGAAATGGTACAAGAAATATAAGCAAGTTATTACTAGAAGAAGAAAACAGAATAAATAATAAATGTAAAAAATTCTTTAAGAGTGATGTCAGCAAGACAGTAAGTAGAACAGAAAGTCTCAGTTCTTGTTTCTGTACAGAGACACTGATTTAATAGTATATGACCTGGGCAGCCCTGGTGGCGCAGTGGTTTAGCGCCGCCTGCAGCCCTAGGGGTGATCCTGGAGACCGGGGATCGAGTCCCGCATCAGGCTCCCTGCATGGAGCCTGCTTCTCCCTCTGCCTGTGTCTCTGCCTCTTTCTCTCTCTCTCTCTCTCTCTCTCTCTCTCTCTCTCTACCTCTATCTCTATCTCTATCTCATAAATAAAATTAAAAAAAAAGTTTATGACCCAAAGAGCCTTTATAAGAACTCCAGAAACCAATTAAGTTATAATACCCTAGGCAAGCTCAAAGTCAAAAACAGCATATTGAAATGGATAAGAAAGCCATTTCATATCAACCACAGTAGCCCTTCCCCTAAGCTGGCTCAGCGTTGTGGGATTGAGAGGAAAATTGTAGCTTTCAGCCTCTCTCGAGGGGGAAAGAAAGGAATGGAATATGTTCAGTGTTCCTGCTTTTTTGGGGAGGCTACATGAGGGACTGGTGTTTTACTTGCCTGACTGACTACTGATGGGGGAACCAGCAGACTTTCAATGCATGTTCACTGCAGAACATTTGAGAGCCCTCAGCTGCTTTTTGCAGTACCAGAGAACTGGCAGTGCTACAGACAGAGGTAGGCTCCGGAGAAAACACCCAACTCACAGCTTCTCTCAAGGTGGGGTAGGGGGTGGGAAAGAAGAGTGGAATGTGTATCTTATCTTCTGAAGGAAGCTTCTAGTTTCTGAAGGAGCTACCTTAAGGATTGATTTCGATTTTCTTTGACTTGAAGCAATAGCAGAACCAGCAGACTTTGGAGGTCAGAAGGTTGCTGAGAACAAGAGCCTAGTGGTTTTTGGTAGCACCAGACAACCTGCAGTACCACCGACAAACACCAGAGGGAGGAAGAGATTGCAAACTCCCGAAAAACTGTCAATCTCTCTGAGAAATTACATAAACAATCCTGGAGAAGACACATCCCCAGAAAAGGTTCAGAGGACCCCCAGATTCTCTCACCAGGTTGATTAGTGAAAGTCTTCCCATGTACAAAGGAAGTCCATTAAAGACTGGGAGAAGTAGCTATTTCTTCATCTGCACAAAGCACAACAAAAGTTAACGTGACAAAGAAACAGGAAAACATGGCCCAATCAAAGGAACAAAATTAGTTTGCACAAACCTACCC